TGGGGGGGTGTGGGGGGGTGTGGGGGGGGAGGATAAAATGCTCTTTTATCAGTTTTGGCAGGGGTATGGCAAGGGAGTTCAGCCAGTGCTCCCTTGCCAGAGATTACCTTTTTTACGCAGACCTTTACAATGGCTGTTCTGTTAAGTCTATAATTAAAAATTTGGCAAACGGACGGGGCTTTCTTCCACTTGTTTCTTGAACTGGGAGGAAAAAGGCTGGTGGGTGGGCTTGGCTGGGAAGCAGAGGTCTGGCTTTTTGAGATAGCAGGCTTTCCTCTCCTGGCCAGGGAAGGCTGAGCCCAGAAAGGCATTCGCTCCGCTTGCTGGGCCTGGCACCCCACAATGAAGGCACTGGGGTGCCACTTGGCGTGTGGGAAGGGCAAAATGTAATCCGTTGCTCTGCCTCAGTGGCATTGCTGTCTGAGCATCTGGGGCCTTCCTCGGATCACCAGGCCTGCGGGCAACCCGGGTCACATTCAGCGCTGTGATGCCCACTGCCCCGTGGGCATAAAACGTGGGCCTCTTCCACTCTGCAGCCCAGAAACCTGCTGAGATGTTGCTTGTCCAAAATAAAAAATGTTCCAACTGGGTTTATCTAGCAGCACCCCTTTCATTCAAGGTCTGCGGCGTTGGCCGCATTCACACAAGAAGCCTCGCCTCGTTCCTAAATTAACCCATTTTCTGTGATTGCACTAAACCCCGAGCCCTCAGACGGGATGGATCCACATAACACAGTGAGCCACAAAAAAACCAACATTAAATCTAACCAAGTTTGGGGGTTAGGTGAGGAGTGACAAATCACTGAGGTTTTTCCCTGTCTTCCCACCCCAAAAAACATCTGTCCAGAACAGCCGTGTCTCGATCCAATCCAAGCTGAAAAGCTTTCGATTCGGGCTTAAGCCCCCCACCCCAATTTCCCCAAACCAGCTATTCTGCATACGGAATGGTTTCTGCACGAATTTCTGGGGGGAAAGAGTCTTAATAATAGTGGCAAAAATGTTTGTTGATGGAATGGTAGAAATACGAAGGGAGTGAGTGGTTGCTGGAAATCCACGCGAGAGAAGGGACCATTCCCACCCCACCTCTGCAAAAAGGGCCAAGCGACAGCCGTTGCCTCGTTTTTATTCCTGTTGCTCCAAAGCAGCCCCCCTCAGCTTGGAGGTGGGCATTTCCATCCTCCTGTTTCTTAACATCCATTTCGGTGTCCTGCCCAGACCAGCAGCACCACCTTTGGCTGCCTGCCACAAAGGCCGATGGCTTGAACACACACCCCGTGTGGAAGGGGCTTTGTCTTGGCTACGTGTGTGAAAGGAGAAGGAAGGGGTGACGCTGAGGGAGTTTAGCAGGCCAGGGAGGGGAAAGAAAACCCAAACGACATGCAGAGTTATTGGGGAACCAGGCAGAGCACTGCAGCGCTCCCTAAAGGGCTCAGACGCCGGATCCAGTGCGCACCGCAAGCGTCTCCAGGGCGTTCAGACAAGCAGTTTTCCTCCGCAGCACCCGCTGACTTGCACTGCTTCTCAAGGGCGCCTTGTGTGTGTCACACGCGCAAGACGCTCTGATTCCAGCTCTTGCAGGTCAGCCAGACGCGCAGAGGGCAAAAGTGTGTGTCTGAACCCGCCCCGCCCTCTCAGGGGACCATGTTCCACCACTTGAAAGCAAACGGCTTTCGCTGGACGTTGGTGCCACAGTGGACCTCCCCCAGCAGCTTGTGGTAGGACGAGATGTCGTCGATGAAGGAGCAGGTGAAGCCCAACGGCTCCAGCAGGGAGGAGACGTGCTGCTCCAAGCAACACTCGCCCTCGATGATCGGCCCAAACGGTTTGGGGACGCCCAGGTCTCTGGAGAGCACGATCATGTTCACCTGAAAAGGGAGAGGGGAGAAAGAAAGGAAGGTCTTGGCACTAAGGGCCCAGCGGCTCTCACCCAGCAAAGCCAACGGGCTACGCGGCTGACGCACCCTTCCCCACTCCGTCCGTCCCCAAATCCAAACACGGGTTGACCCGGGAACCAGCTGTCTGCCTGGTGCGAACACAAACGGTGTCTTGCAGCGAGGAGGCAATTCCGCCAGCGGTGTAATGCAACAAAGCGAGACGGGGCAAAGGAAGACCCGAACAGACGCTTCACCCAGCCCCAAGCGTTTGCAAGAAGCAGCTGGGCGGGGGGGGTGTCGGCCTGGCCGGGGGGCAGGCCCGGCGCTCACCATGTTGGGAAAGTAGGCCATGGCCTTTCCCTCCTTGTCCATCTTGAAGAGTGCAGGGAGGTCGGTGATGTCCTTCTCCTTCAGGCCCAGCTCCTTCTTGAGGATGTCTCGGTTCCAGTCAATGCATCGCTGGCGGAAAAGCAGAGGCCGGACCGAGAATTAGCAGCCAAAAAACAGCCACCTGGCAGATGGTGCCCTCCAAGGTCTGTAAGACCTCAGCAACCTGGCGCGGGGGACACCTCGGCCAGCGAGGCTGAGCTAGAGGACGAGTCATCGGACAGAGAAACGCGGGCAAAGAACCCTGCAGGAAACTATCAAACGCTCCCCCCCGGGATTGCAGATACGGCCATCAGCAGCTTCCACGTCTCTCCCTCCCCGCGAGAGTCCCTGGGGGGGACTGCAAGGGTGGTGATGAGGCTGAAATGGACGTGGGGGAAATGGTGAGGCTGCTTGGCTGAGCTTCGTACGGGACAGGGCCGGGGGGTCAGAAATGCCACAATGCCCTCCCAACAGAGACCAGGGCTCCCAGGTTTTATCTGGGGCATTTCAGTCTGTCCTGGAGAACCATCTTTAAGGCGAGGCGGACACCACTAGGACGCCGACACCAAAATCCCCACCGTTTCCTAGATTTTTAGACCTCGAGACCTATTCCGTGCCCCCCCAAATCTGTACTGAAAAATCCCCACCGATGATGGTTTCATCTCATCTCTTTCTGCCAACCCAAGTTTGTGACGGGAAGCAAATCCCAGGGTGGTTTAGAGATGCAAGGAAAAGCGATGTCCCCCACCTCTCCGCAAAGACCCACCTGCACGTACTGGTTCTCTTGCACCATGATCTCGTTGGAAAGGACCTTGTTGATGGTGACTCGTTTCGTGTCCGTGCCCGAGTACCCTGGAGAGACCGAAGGCAGAAGACGGGTGGCGCGTCCGTCATTTTCCTTTTCTGGGGATGACCACCAAGCGGGACCCGCGAGAAATACTCTCCACGTTTTTTGCCCTCCCTCAACGCCCGCCTGCCTCGGGGGGAGCAGCGGCCGCAGCCGGGCAGCGCAAAGGGACTGTCCCGCCTGGCAGCTGGTCTGGTGGGTGACGGCTCTGAGTCTGGAGAAGGGCCACCTGCCAACTCCCCTCCGTGGCCCGGGAAGTGCGGTGATTTATTCGTAATGTCCCCTTCCTCTCCTTTTCAAAAGAAGAGAAACGGCCCACCCCCGTCTGGCCATAAAATGTCACCCGCTTGGGATCCGGTCCCACCTGCTGGCATGAGTGGGTCTTCTAGCCCTCCCGCCGTAGCAAGCTTGCCCCCCAGGACTGGAGCCCTGCCCTCCAGCTAACCACCCTCACGACTCCGCGAAAGGTGGCCGTCCCCGCACACCCGCTTTAGAGCCGAGGACAGAACTCGGCACCAAGAATCCCACCCCGTCGCGTCCTCTCCGGGCATCCGGTTGGCGACCGGCCTCCGCACCCGTTTGCAGCAGGTCGCACGGCCGGCCGTGCAGAACCCCGCCGATGGTTTGGCCATTGCCCTCCGGCAGACAAACCACAATGCCGACATGCACTCGGAGCCCTTCCTTCCACTCTCCGGGAGGGAGGAGGATCTTGCTGGCCGTCCCCAAACTTGCCCTGCTCTGCCCTGGGCAAACTCTTTATTTGGGGATGGCTGGAGGCCGCCTACCTTTAAACATGGTGGCTTCGCCGTGGCCTTCCTTCTGCTTCTCCCTGAAAAACTTGTAGCAGGCGGAAGGGCTGGCCATGAGCATTCGGAATTGCTGGGGAAAGGGGGGAAGCGCCCAGTCAGACCTGGGCAGCTGGTAGGGGCGGAATGAGACCCTCTCTGCTTCCCAGGCGTTGGCAGTCGGGTGGCATACAAGCGTAATAAATTATTCTTATTCTTATTATGCACCTGCAGAGGTGGGGACAACCCAGTGAAGCTGCTCTTTTGGAGCCCAGCAGAGAACAGCGCATGCGGGTGCCCGCCTTGCCCCAGCTGGACGGACGCAGCGAAACGAAGCTTTAAAACAGAACCGTGGCACCCTCACCTTTTTGCCAGGAATTGGAACAAAGGTCACAAACTCATCTACGTGGCCGACGGTCAGCCAGTCTGAATACAGCTCCACCGGGGGCTGGACCCGCTGGGCATAGAGGAAATCGCGGACCACCTTGGTCATTCGGCGGCCCCCCGAGCTGGAAGGGTGGGGATTCCATGCAGGAGACGGAGGAC